TACCTCGTAGATCGATTCGTGGGGTCCAAAAACCCCAGAATCGAGTCTTAAGCCGCCCGATTTCGTTGGAAGCGGGCGAGTTACTCATTCTCCTACTTCCCCCTTCTTCTTCCTCTGCCTCTCCCGCCATAGCCCGCGCAGTCCGTTCCTCAACTAACTCCTAATTTACTAACTCTCCTACCGATCTGACTTCATACTCGAAGTCGCCTCCCTCTAAAACCCCCAGCTGGCATCTACCCCCGCCCGATTTCACAAAGGAATAGGCAATCACGCTAGTTTTTGCCCCGCCATGGCCAGTTGTTGCCATCTCGCTTGCTGCCCGTACCTGGTGCGGAATCGCGCCAGGTTCACTCCCCCGTTTTCCCCCTTGTCTGCGTCGCACCGGTCTTCCGCCCGTTGCTATCCTCCCTCGCCCGACTGTACATAGCCCAACTTTCTCCCACTCGCCTACCTCATCTCGCTGCCTCAGCCTTGCAGCGCCAGTACCTGGCGCGAACGCCCGTCCAGGTGCATTCGCCCGTTCCTGCCATCCCGTCGGCTTCCCTCTCTCGTACACACCCGGCACAGAAACCGGTCCGGGTCCACACACATCCTTGGCTACTCCGCTTTGTGGCCGTCGCCTCTGCCGCTACCTACCTCCCTTCTCTCTTCATCGCCTAAGTGCTCGATGCCCGCTGCTTCGCTACCTCAACACTCCCGCTCTCTCTTCTCAGTCCTTTGCGGCTCCTTCCCCACAGCCCTCCGCTCTGTCTTCGCGGTGGCCCAATCCACTCCGACATCGGATGCCGCTCTCGACAGCAGCGGGCCCCGTAGTGGTCAGCGAGTTGGCTTACCACACCAGCTATCCTGAGAGGAACCTCAGAGGGGCCGACTACTAGCCGGTTCGACTAGTCTTTCGCCTCTATACCCAAGTCCGACGTTCAACAACTCCAGCAATCTTGAGGGAAACTTCGAAGGGTACCAGCTACTAGACGGTTCGATAAGTCTTTCGCCCCTATAGTCCACTAGACGGTGTGCCTCCTGTCTGCGCCACTGCTGCGCCGCTCGGCCCGCTGCTGCGCCTCGCTGCATTAGGGCCCGTCGGACTGAGGTCGACGCTACCACCTCCTCGTTGCCTTCACCCCCGAATGCACCCGGCACGGCCCCCGTCCGGGTTCATTCTGTTCTTCTACGTAGTCCCCTGTTCGCTACCTGGCCCGCTGGCTGTTGCATAACGCAGCACCACCGACTCCGCCGTCCAGGCTCTCCCCGCCAAGCTTTCTACTCGCCCCGGCTGCCGGTTTCTTCAACCTATGGTCCGTGGGCGGCCTGCCACAACCCTTTTTTGCCCCGCTTCGCTCTGACGGTGTCCACCACCACCTCGGACCCCCAACGGACAAACTCCCGTTCAGTCAGTTGGTCGTGGACCCACGGCCCGCTGTAACGCCTATACGTGGGCCTTAGTGAGGCGGGCCCCGTACGACCTTCGGCGGTAATTCCAATGAGAACTTTGAAGACCGAAGTGGAAGAAAAGCCCGTGGGCGGACCGCGTGGGGACGGACGGTGCTCCTCGGCCGACGCACAAAAATAATTAGGATACAGGAATGCCGCCGGCACCCCAAGCGCGCGAGAACCCGCAGGCCAACCTTAAAAGCCGCGCACTCAAGGTCCTCGACTGCCGCGGCGACCATTAGATCCGGCGTCCCGTCCAAATCAATGCCCCGCCGGGGTATATATATATAAAAAAAAAAAATACGACACTAGAATAAAACTATTTAGAAAACGCCACCACCGATCGGACGCCGCCACTAACAAAACCGAGGGGGATAGCCCCAAGGCCCTCAACCCCATCGGCTTTCTCCTCAACGCTCCGCTGCCGTGGCGTGGACACTAGCCGGCCTCGATCCCCGAACCTTCGTAGCAGTAGTCCGATGTCGGAACCTATAGGGCTAAGCCCAAGCCTGAGACCAATATCCACAAAGTGTCATATAAGGTGGCGCGGCGCTGCACTCACGGCCAGGGAAATTGGCTTGAGCCTCACCTCCGCCTACAACCGTGCACGCGACCGCCCAGCGTTTGCGCCGGCTTACCAAGCTGTGCCACGGCCGCCACTCTCGCCACTTCGCGTGCCTAGACCTACCGCAGTCACTCTATCGCCGTCGTTGCCGTCGTCGCCGTCATCCTTGCTCGCACGCTCGCCTCGGTCAAACGTACCATGCAAGGGAAAATATCCCTAAATCCTGCTTAATCAAAAATAAACAAACATTAATAATATTGTTACATAAAACGACCGACGTCTGCGCCGGTTTTATAATCAACAACAAAAAGAATCACGCGCACACGCACGCTTTACTCTAGTCAACCATCCAGTCAACGTAATCACGGACACAGCCGCGCCTAGCACGGTATAGTTAAACTTTAAACCAAAACTATTTTCTGTCGCTTGAAAAAAAACAGGGCGAATAGCCTTGTAAGGGTATTCGCACCAACAACGCCGATCATCTCCGCCAGGAGGACGACTCGGTCAGAGATGCGTTCCCGCTAATGCCACGAACTTTTTCCATCCGCGGAACAAGGGAGCGGATGTGGATCATCGTCGGCACTCAAGAAGATTTTGAGATGGATCCGTGGATGGGCGTCATGCCATGGACTGATCGCCCTATTCATTATTGGTGTGAAGAGGATTGGGAGTCTGCAATGTCCTTATGTCCATGGACAAACGAGTATCACTTTGCTAACATGTTTGAGTGGAGAAAAATGATATAATTGCTGCCTTCGGATTTGTTGCCGCAAAAGACATTCGCCTTTGTGGCGTCCGATGGCAACTTCCACTTTCTGCAGTATAAGTGCATCACAACCTCGCCCAGGACCTGGTCCCCGATTAAGCAATTCGAGTTGCTGACATGCGCAAGGTTCTGCGACTTCTTGAGCGACTATCCTTTGCCTAGCTGTAAGAATTCATCCAGTGTGATTTCCTACGGTTGTGTCCATGTGAAAATAGGAAACCTGCCTGTCAGCAGGATTTTATGTGTGGCCTCCACGAACAATGCAAGAACTTTGACAGACGCCGTCGTTTTTGCGACCCACAATAGTTTACATCTTACTAAAGGTTGCCTCTTGCTTCTCAAGTGCTTAGGTAGGGAGGGCAAGTCCGATTTCATGCAGCACGTGAGAGTATCAGAAGGCGACCAGAAGTTAGAGGTTGAGGCTCACATTGCGCGCATCAGAGATGCAATGGGGAAGTACTTGGCTAGAAACGGGACGTTTGTTCACATGAAATACATCTCCCCATTCTCGAAAAAGGGAAAATACAAAGACCCCCTCCGCCTTACTTATGATTCGTCGCTGTTTGCTTTGTACGGGTTCAGTAAAAGACAACGTTTGCTTTCAACTTAACAGTAGGTGAACGGGTCACGGTGCAGTTTGGCGAGTTGAACTGCTCGTGCTTACGGGTGTATATTAGGAATGTTGCATTGCGTTGATGTGGTACTGTAACGTAAGTTATGTCGACTGATGGACACATTGGTATACAAACAGTTTGTCAGTCCACAAAGTACGTTCGCGGGTTAGCTCAGGTATAGCAACAAGTATGTTTCTCATGATAGAAATATATATGTTTTGTGTAGTCGATACGCCGATATTCGATACCCCGGTAAGTATGTTACTCGTCGGAACAAAGTTGACTGTCATATGGCCTCGGAACAAAGTTATCTGCATTTTGGCGGGTCCTACCGTGAGGGATTGTTCCTGTGTGGTATTCGGCCACACAGGAACAACAACGTGCACAAGAAACGATGTGTGACGTGCGATATGGCTCCTGCACCGAGCACACCCGTTTCACCCCTGCGCAATGTCGATACGGCGATTTGGGGGAAACATGGAAATCCGATGTTAACGCAGGACTTCGAATGAGATTCATGGATGACTATTGCCCCTTTCGTTGATGAGCATCTCAACACGTAGAACGATAGTTACTGTGTGGAACGATAGTTATTGGGAGAGCGTAATGCGAGACCGTCCATAGGCTAATGACTGTAAATTCGCTTGCATCATGGAGTGGGGAATTCTAATCTCACTTTAAACGACGCAGTTGTATATGTCTCGCGCAACGAGTTGAGTTTTCAAAAGAAGGGCATATGTTTAGTGCAACGCGAATGTCCGAACGGTAGGATGGATATAGTGTTAGCCGGTCAAGTCGAGGATATCGACGTTTGGCAAGAGGTGGTGAAGAAGTGACGTGTATCCGTGATGCAATACGGAAATCGTTGGCAGGGACTGGAGGGTTCGTTCACATGAAATACATTTCAGTGTTAAAAAAAAATGTGACCGTCGACGAACCGCAGTGCCTCATATTCAATGAACGCGTTGTATGGCTTTTGCTCCTCGCGGAGGTCCACTTGAATCCTGAAACATTGTCAAACATTTCCATAGTCTGATTGATTTCAACCATGCTAGGAAGCATGTGGTGTCGGGGTACAGGGCATACATTCTGCAGTGTGTACTACGTAGGTGGGAGCCGTGTGGTATGCCCCAGTACATGTGTATTGTTGTCGTGTCTTTCGTGACCTCTTATGTTTGTTTGTTTTTTTCGTCCTCCGAGACAGCCTTGTTATGTACATGGCAAGGACAAAGGAAGGGTTATGATATAGTGGAAGGTCGAAAAGGCGGACTGGTGTGAAGGTGAGAGGATCGCTGGTAGTCAAATGAAACAGCAGTGTGGTGAACAAAAATGGGAGTCGCAGAGCCTTCTCGAAATTTTCATAAATCTTCCTCTGTCAGCGGGCCCCTTCTCGAAATTTGAGCTAATGTTCATAAATGTTCCTCTGTCAGCGGGCCTCTTCTTGAAAAAAGGAAGGGTTATATATATTCGTTAATTTTCATAAATGTTCCTCTGTCAGCGGGCCCCTTCTAGAAATTTGAGCTAATGATGCATTGATCGCCTTTCAGACAGTTATGTTTATTTATATGGGACATGGGGCTCCTTCCCAGGTTATGATATAACACTCCCCTACTGCGTGTGTACGTGGGTTTTTTTTCCCCCATTTCTTTCATTCCTAGAAAAAAGAAAAAAGAAAAAAGAAAAAATAATAATAATAAAGGGAAAACAAAATTGTAACAACGTATCGGAAAAAACAATGCTGATTAAAACTAGCAAACACAAAAAATGTATATTTCATAGTTTGTGCCGAAGCATGGAATGGTCAGGCGCCTCACGGGTTCCGGACCATGGTATGGTCCAAGGCCTCGGGGGCCTCCTATATTCTGGAGCCACGGAGGAGTCGCGGAGCAAGAATCCAAGTGATGGTCGGGCGCCTCGGGGAAGCCGGAGCATCCTATGGTCCGGTGTCCGTAGGGGCTCTTCACCACGGGGATGGTCCGGCGCCTTTGAGGCTTCAGACCATGGGTGGTCCGGCGCCTCGACAGATCCATACCATGGGATGGTCCGGTGCCTCGGGGACAGTGATACATCCGATGGTCAGGCAGCTCGGGGACGGCGATACATCCGCTGGTCCGGTGTGTCGGGGGCTCCAGACCATGGGGTGCTCTGGCGCCTCGAGGGGTTCAGACCATGGGGGGGTCCGGCGCCGCGAGGGGTCCAGACCATGGGGTGGACCGGCGCCTCGGGGGTCCAGACCATGGGTGGTCCGAGGCCTCAAGGGCTCCTGACCATGGAGTGGTACGGCGTCTCAGGATCGAACAGAGACCATGGGATGGTCGGGTGCGTCGGGGACGCCGAACCATTCCATGGCGCGGCTCCTCGGGGCCTCCACACCGTGGGATGGTCCGGCGGCCCGGGGACTCTGAAACATCGAATGGTGTGGCGCATCGGGGACTCCGGACCATCGAATGGTCCGGCACCTCGGGGACTCCGGACCATCGAATGGTCCGGCGCCTCGCGGACTCCGGACCATCGAATGGTCCGGCGCCTCACGGACTCCGGACCATCGAATGGTCCGGCGCCCCGAGGACTCCGCACCATCGAATGGTCTGGCGCCTCGAGGACGCCGGACCATCGAATGGTCCGGCGCCTCGGGGACTTCGAACCATCGAATGGTCCGGCGCCCCGGGGACGCCGGGCCGTCGAATGGTCCGGCGCCTCGGGGACTCCGGACCATCGAATGGTCCGACGCCCCGGGGACACCGGGCCGTCGAATGGTCCGGCGCCCAGGGGGCTCCAGAACATGGGACGGTCCAGCGCCCCGTGGACTCCGGACGGTCGCATGGTTCGGCCGTTGGGCTCCCTACCTTCGAAAGGTTCTGCGCCCCGGTGTTGTGAGGAAACCCGGGGAGGGGGCGCCTACTGTTCGCTGAAGCCAAGGGCTACGGCGCCTGTCACTCGCCGCGCCCGCTTCCGAGGTCCTCAGCGACCAGCGGGCATCGAAGCCAGGGGCGCCCTGTCACGCTCCTGAACAGCTTCGACCAACAAGGTGATTCTACTGTCGCTCACCAGTACGTTTCTGCAATCAATTTAAAATTCCGCCAATTCACGCGCTAAGGGGTTTCAACAGTCAATCGGTGTCACACAGC